ATATATATATATTAGTCATTTATGGTAATTCCGTAGGTTTTATTTATGGAAAGAAAATAAAATAGTAATTATATCTATGGGAACAATCATAAATGCTTCTATCATAAATATCATATCATATCATATAATTTGACCAACGAATGTATCTAGCGACATATAAAAATCGAATGTGAACCTACTTATTTTTCAATTGAATGTAATTAACTACCTAATTGAGTGACACCTAAGCATGGGGTCTTTTTTAATTATTACAAAATTGAGGTTACAATTTTTTAAATGTTTCTCCTTTAATATATAAGGGATTGTTAATAAAATAATCAATACCACTAGATTTTAATAAGAATTTAAACCGATCATTGAATAATACTAGACTATAAAATTTTATAAAATTAATTTAAAGTACACCATTGAATAACGTCCCTCCAATTAATTAAATTCAGTGCCATGCTGTTAAACTTATATATATATATATATATATATATAGATTGCTCTTAATATAATTCAAGCAAAGAGAAACGAAACAAATTAAAACAATAATGTCTGGAACAAAAAGTGAAGCTGTCAAGAAATTTGCTCCTATTTTGGAGAAGGAGACAGCAAACGCAGGTGTGATGGAATGGTTTCGTTACACAGGGACAATACAACAAATAACAACGTCAATTACTGGATTTGAGCTTAACAGCGAACAAGCCGAGGGACTAAAGAAAAATATGTCAGAAGAAACCCGTACGCAACTAAGCCGCGACTCAGTGTGCCAACTCACGGCACTGAACGTGAGAACAAATGAGTCGTCCGCCGTCACGGTTACTGAAGAATCAGGAAACGGGTTGATCTTGAACTGGACCCTTGAGGTTGGGAAGACGATTGACTTTGATTTCACTAATACCTTCTGGAAGGATGATGATCACAACGGATGTGATAGCGTCTTCTATGCAATTAACGAAATAATCTAGTAACTAGAAGCATCAACTATACCATCAATAATTAAGCTTGGTTGCCATGAACAGAGATTATTATATTTTATCAAAATAAAATATATATGCTAATTATTAAATATGCTTAAAATATATATGCTAATTATTAAATAAATATATGCTAATTACTAATTTGCTTAAAAACAAAGGAAGGTGGTGGAATTAGGGATTTGCCCATAACAGTAAAACAATATTATATTTCGGATACTAAGATAATAAGTTAATAAATTATGTTTATGGCTAATTCAACCTTATGCTATTTAGATTTATTATATTTTCGGCTAATTAAACTTTATGTTGTCCGAGTAAAACCTTCAAAATCCAGCTAAAATATTTTTAGCTATAAATAAGAAAGATTAGATGGTTAACACTGAATCTCAAAGATAATTTTCAAAGAGATAAAAAATGAATTAATAGTTATGTGTTATCTAATAATTTACGGGTTAACAATAATGCTAAGCGACTAACTCAAGCATACACATAAATATATGTACACATTGTTATATGTTAACATTCAAATAATGATTCTTAACTAAGTTCAAATATATGTGTAAGATTATATCTAACCAAAACTTTTACTGAAACTAATAACTATATGGAGAATCTTAACTGTATGATCATACTTGTAAAATATTTTTGTAAAATATTCTTAACAAGTTAAACTAGAATTATACCAAAAGAAATAAAGTTTAGCATTGTTCATTATTCAGTAACAACCATGTCTGTATGTTTCACTTCGAAATGGGGATGATGATTTCTAATATTTCATTTTGTGGTTGATGATCACTTCGAAATGGGAATTTGGTATTCAACCCAAAAATATCTTTTTAGATAGTGTGAGATTTGAGAGAGAATCAAACTACAGAATTTTCATATTTCAAATTCGTGCAAAAAATTAAGAGAGAAATTGTTTACGCTTTGACAAAAAAAATTGAGTAAATATGGTGATGGTGTATAAGATCTAATCAAATCTACCTATAATATTTGGTCTAGGACTGACATTAGGAAAATAGATCAACTAAAGAGGTAGCAATGTCTTAATGAATTGTGTACAGTTGAAAAATATGGGTATATTGCTAAATACACTAAGGTGGGGTTATTGGGAGATGAATTTGTATAGAGTTTATGGATTTTAAAAGTTGATAAATTTATAAAGTTATGTGGATTATGAAAATAATACTAATAGTATGGTTTTTTTAAAGGATTGTGGATTTGGTTTTGACAAATATGGTCTTTTGGTATATTGCTAAATACACTAAGGGGGTTAGTGAGAGATGAATTTGTATAGACTTTGTTGATGATTTTATAAAGTTCCTAATTTCTCTTTATTTTATTTCATATGTAGATAAATAATAGTATGTTTTTTAAAAGGATTGTGTGCTTTTGGACGCTAAAGATTTTGCAATAAATAGGAATTGTCTGTGTAATTAAAAACAAAATTCACATTTACTATTTATCTAGCCATGCAAACACAACAAAATAATAATCATTCAGTGAATTTCTTTTCTTTTTTTTAACGCTGGTTTATTATGATATTGCAATTATGAGAAAGATTACATAGATAATCCGACAGTCGACAATACTATATGGCTTATAAGAGTTTACGCCTAACTGCATCACCTGAACCGTCCTACGAAGATCACGCCTGGTCGAGTTTACTTGCACCATGTTGACGATCCCTTATAAGCCTTTTCCCCATAGGCTGCATAATTGTTTTAATAAATCACTTTCCCCGAGAATTGAAACATGGATCTGCTGGTGTAGAAACATTAATGAACCCTTAGTCAAACCATTGGATTAAGAGTGCTTCCACATCATTCGATTAATTCCATCAAGTGTTTTTTTTTTATTTATAAATAACTAGATATTGACCTGCCCTTGAAAGGGCGTGTATATTTTTTGTTTTACATTTTCTTAGAAATTTAATTTTCCTTTATGTGTTTTCTTTGTAATTACTTTTATAAAATATATTTTTTAAATTACTAATTAAAATTTTTGATAAGTATATTAAATTTGTGATGTTATGGAACTATATAACTTATGCCCGTAGGTATTTCACACATCAATTCTTTTTGGTGGAGGTATATATATGATTTATAAAATAATTAGATATAAGCATTATTTCATATTCGATCTAGACCGGTGGTTGAACCGATAAACCTGGTTGTAAATTATATATTTTGTAGATGTCTTTGATTATTAGTTATAATATCATTTGAAACTTTAATGAGATATATATATTTTGATCATTTGAAACTTTAATAAGATAGTTTACAAAATGAGGAGATGCATGTAAAATCTTTTAATTTTTTGTTTGTTTTTGTTTATGCTACATAAGTTAAATCTTGTTGATAATAATACATTTTTTACTTGTGCATGATTTTATATTCTGCTAAATAGGTTAAATAGAATAAAACTATTTTTTTAAACTCTTTTAAAATAGGATAAATTGTATCGACCTTCATTTTTCTATAATAACAATAACTACCGAAGGAGTAACGTGGCGTAGTTGAAATAACACACACATCCGTTCGCAAAACCCGGTTCGCAAAACCCGGTTCGAAACGCTCCCCTCCTTTTTCAATTTGTTTTTCTTTTTCTTTTACTGATGGCATAATCGTAATTTTCCTTATCTTCTTCCACGATAGAATTAGGTTTCGCAGAACAGAGTTTTACAGCCGCCATTGTTTTTCTTATAAATTCCATCGCTTGTTAAGCGTTTTTGTTGATTTTTATGTTTAAACCTTGCAGATTTCACATATAATACCGGATTTTAACTTCTAGAAACCAAAAAAGGTAAAAAGAATTGATGATTCCGATTTGGAGAAACAGCCATGGTTAACAATAACAAATAGTGTACATTAAAGATGCCAAAAGTGTATACTGAACCTAATTCAAACAAAGAGCAGTCCGATTTAGTGGCCGATATACTCTTCCTTTTGGTTTTTGAGAAATGTACTCTGTTTATATTCTCCAAGTTCTCATATTTTTTTTCAATTACCGTAACTATTTCCATGTCGGATGATCATGAGAAATCATGTGTAGGATCAAAAACCAATAATCCAACTGGTTTATGTAGGAAAAAAAGTAATTGTTTTTGTTATAGAAAAATAGAACGTGGTTAGTGTTAGATATATAAATATATAATAGATGCAGTTATATAAAAATCAGTTTTAAAAAAAAAAAAAAGAATAGTTGGACACAACAAATATCAATAGGTCATGTTGCTAAATTAATAGTATTGATACTCACTCTGTTTAATTATAAGTATCATTTTAGAGTTATGCACACGGATTAGAAATAATAATTTTACATATTTCCTATATAAAAACACAATTACCTATACACTTAACCATATTTTAACCAATAGAAAAACAATTTATATAGTAAAATTAATAAATTTTGCATTGAAAATTAAAAACGTTTTGTAACGAAAAAAATTCTATACAACGACACTTAATATGAAACGGAGAGAGTATTTGTTACGCATGAGTATGCGTATTAAAATAGTAGTAGTGTAGTTACGCTTAAAAGAAACAGATATAGATAAGATAAGTAAGGATACAATGATGGCAGAAGAAAGAGAGGGAGACATGCGTGACGTCAAAGAGACTCCAAAACGACACACATTTGGAATAATAAATGTTTATCAATAAAAGATTAAAAAAACAGATCAGATCGGATCGAAAGACATAAATAAAATATAAAAAAAAAAGCCGTTAAAGAGCATATAAACCCTGCATCACTCCACCTTAATGCACTCAGTCAACGTGCTCCGACATGGTTACTAAATCTCCCCCACACGCGACTTTTGTATCGCGTTTAATCCTCTCTCTCCTCTCGACGCAGTAGATTGAACCCCACGCGCTAATGTGTGAGTAGAAAGAGAGCAACGTCCCACTATCTCTTTAAAACCTCCGTCGTCTTTCTTTCTTTCCGAACATAAAACCATAACCTCTCTTTATCTCTTCTTCTGTCTTCTTCTTTCCCAAATTAGTAACTCTAAAACCTTAAACATAACCAAAAATGGCGGACAATTCTAGCTTCGACCAAGCTCTACTCGGGAGCTCCATTGACGTTGACTTCGAGTTGACTTTCGACGACCTCTACTTTCCTTCTGAGAATGAATCCTTCTTCATCCCTGTTGATGCCACGAACCTCGAGGTGTCTGGTGATTGCTCCGCTACTGCGACGGTCGTTGATGTCTCGGAAGCTACGATTGCTTCGTCATCTGAATTAGAAAAGGTGGTGGTTGATCGGAATTTGAAGGTGGAGGAGGAAGCTACTACGTATAAGACGAAGAGGAAAAGAGAAGAAGATACATCGTTGAACAATAAGTACAGGAGATCAAATGAAGATGGTGCTGCTGCAAGTTGTGATGAAGAAGGTTATGAGAAGAGGAACGCGAGACTGGTTCGAAACCGTGAAAGTGCTCACCTTTCAAGACAGAGGAAGAAGCATTACGTGGAGGAGCTTGAAGAGAAAGTCAAGAATCTGCAGTCCGTTATAACGGATTTGAACAGTAAAGTCGATTACTTTATGTCTGAGAACGTCACTTTGAGGCATAAGGTGGGTCCCGGAAAAGGCATGTGCTGGCCACCGTCTGGAATATATCCAATGCCCTATCCATGGATGCAGATTCCGCCTTATATGGTTAAACCGCAAGGTTGTCATCAAGTAGTGCCTATGCTTCCTATTCCTAGGTTGAAACCACAACAATCCTTTGCTGCTAAGGTGAAGAACTCAGAAGCTAAGACCAAGAAAGTTGCTAGTGTTAGTGTTCTTGGTCTTCTCTTTTGTTTGTTTTTGTTAGGTGCGTTGGCTCCGATTGTGAACGTTAGCTTCAAGGAGTGGGAAGAAAGAGATTTATTAGATTCCTCAGTTAATAGTAGTTGTAGATCACAGTGTGGGAGAGGTTCTGATCAAGGAGTGGGAAGAAGCGTATCTGCAACAGTTAACTCTGTGCCTCTTGGAAACAGTAGTGAACTAATAGTTGCGTCACTATTTGTTCCGAGGAATAAGAAGCTTGTGAAGCTAGATGGGAACTTGATTATTCATTCTCTTTCGGCTAGCGAGAAAGACATGGCTTCTGAAACGAAGCCTGCACTGCGTTCATCTGACTCCACAAGGACCAGGGATATGCCTAAGCAACTAAAGACCGAAAAGAGAGAAGCTCTGTCATCTTCTGGCTCTGATGATTCGAAAGACCAACGCAACTCAACAACAGCCAATGGTGAAATGCAGCAATGGTTTCGTGAAGGTGTTGCAGGTAATCACATAATAAAATAAATAGAAATAGTCTTTGGTAGATGGCAGCTCCTAGAGATTGAAAACAGTATACTGAGTAAGTTGAACTGATTGCATTTGCATATCATAACACCCGTTTTTGTTAAATGTATCAACTACTAGGACCAATGTTCAGTTCAGGGATGTGCACCGAAGTGTTTCAGTTTGATGTCTCCTCAAACTCTGGAGCCATCATTCCTGCTACTCAACATCCCAAGAACACCACCAATAAACACAAGGGAAACAATAACAGAAGAATCCTCCGTGGTGGTTTTCCAGTATCCGATTTAACCAAAGATCAAAACAGTTCTAACAAAGACAACTTTGGAACAACCAAGCCATTTCCATCTATGGTTGTATCTATACTTACTGATCCCAGAGAAGAAGGCAGTGATGGAGACATGGCTGGAGGTAGAAAGTCACTGTCCCATGTTTTCATAGTTGTTCTTGTTGACGGTGTCAAGTATGTAACCTACTCCTGCGTCCTTCCACCACCAGAAGAAGTCCCTCATCTTGTAACCACTTGACTTGCTCTGTGTATATAAATCACAAAAAGAAGTTTTCACACAATGAAAGTTATACCATCGGATCTATTTAATGTCTCATGTTTGAATGATTAGAGTAGAGACACAAGGATAAATGTTAATCCAAGTCAACTCGAATTTACAGCTGAAAAGAATCCAAGTCAACACAAACACTCACACACAAACCGTTTGCTCTTTAGTTCTCAAGAGTCATAACAATAACTCTGATTTTACAGTTGAAAAGAATCAAGAATGGTTTGAAGAGTCTTCTGTGAGCTCTGCCATTGCTTCTCAGTAGCACTCACCACAAACAAAACCACCGTGTTTCCCTTCGCTGTAGCTTTTGCAAGGTTATGACTTCCCGTTAGCGCAAATGGCGTCTCCAACACATACTTATAGTACTGTCACATCAACACAAGAAATTATAAAACTTATCTCAATAACCAGAGAAACAATCATCATCATTACCGTTTGATCACCGATCTTTTCGATAGATGTATTCACAAGCTCATCAGAATCATAAGAGTTTCCAGTGACAAAGGGACCAAGAGAAGCAATCACTCTCTCAGGCTCACCGATATCTTCAATAGTTGCATTCGGCTTGTTGGTTAAACGAATCAAAGGAGATGCAACCACTTGAACTTTCCCTTGCTTCTCATTCTCAAACTTCACTTCTATCCATGGCTCTGCGCATTTCGGTTGGCAGTAGTTTCCTGACAAGATGTTGGCTATTCTCAGCTGTTTCCAGTTTGGGGGTAGAACAAACTGATACGGCTGCACGTTTCCTGCAACAAGACTAGATTTCAAACATCATTAACTCAAAAGCTAACATTAAAAACCAACTCCATATTCATTACAGAACCAAACAGAGACCAATTCAAACTGTCTTAACTTAAACGGTAATATTGTGAATAAGTCTAAGAGTGGGAGTAGGCATCACCTGCGCGGAGAGCAGGAGTATCAGAAGGTTTGGCTTTGAAGAGGACCAAAGAAGGGTCAGACTCAGAAGGTGGTAAGAACGATCCTACTTCTACCTCACGCGCCTCAGAGATAGGAGCTTCCTTCAAATTCAGAATCGCTGGAATCGCCACCGCTGACTTCAGGAGTAAGTCTCTCCTTCTTGGTTGTTGTTGTTGAGAGGATGCAACAATGAAGCTAGGTCTTGTTCTGACTGAAGATGTGAATGTAGGAGAGACATGGAAGATGTTAGATGTCGGGACGAGAGACGCGGTCGCCATTTTTTTTTTTTGTTATGAGAGGTTGAAAATTTGAGGGTTTTGTTAATATCACATTTGGATAAGGCAATTTTCAGACAGAAGAGTCTTCAGGTCCACACAATCTATCTATTGCATAACTCATTACTTGGATTAGCTGTTTGTAATAAAAATAAAGGTTGCAACTTCTTTTGTCAAAATAGATCCTAAGGCTAGAAGCTTTGTTAATTAGGACAAAACTGAAACTGATTCTCACAAAAGAGAGATTAACATTTAGAGTCACTTTATGACTTTATATTTCATCCAAAGGCATTTTGTGCTCCTCATGTACTTTTTGAATGTTTTTAGTTACTTTTTCCAACTAAACGTAACTAGGACAATATTCTAGTTATATTATTTTATTGTTTTCCCCCTTTCTCTCTTTTATTTTATTGCTTTTGTTTTAAAATTTAAATAATTTATTTTTTGTGTTTATTGTTTGTCATCTATCTTCTCCACCACCACTGTGTGGCTCAAACCACCAAATTTCAGTAGCTGAGTTTCTGAGCCTTTGGTGAATCGTGATCTCATTCCATCTCTCCGATTTCGTTGTTCGTTCTTGTTGTTTCATGTGATGTAGAGAAAGTCAAAAAGCTCTCGTCAAAGACAAGCTTCCGTCGGAGATGTTCTCGTCGTAGACAAGCCGGTGCTAGGTCGACACTCTCCTCACCCTCACGTTTACTCTTCTTCACCACGGGTCTTTTATTCAACCCAGCTCAATTGACTTTGTGACCGTGGACGAGACACCAGAGGCAATCTAATCTATTGAACCTTGGCTAGATCCATTCTCAAATCAAGTTTCTAATATTTGCACAATTGATCCTTAGCTTTAGGATGTTTACAGTTCAACCCCTATTTTATTAAATCAGTATAAAAATACAAAATTAACACATAAATGCAATATAAATGATTAAAATAAGCTAAATGAAAGGTGGAAGACTTAAACACGTGAAAAATATGATATTCAAAAACAAAGTCCTTGTATATCTATATGTACATGATCATGTACAAAATCAATTGATGCTTTCTAAGTATAATACTCCATATTTCAAGATATCTTGTGTACACATATACAATATAAATTAAATGTACACATGGATAACATGTTAAGTCGAGAGTTGCATAAGCTAATCTAATTTGTAATATGGTGTACACATGTACAAACTAAAATATGTTGTATAGATGTACACATGTACAAATTTTAATGTACACATGGATAACATATTAGGTGGACGTTTTTTAAAAAAGATTACAAAGATGATTTTCCAAATGTACATAGATTTTAGACAACCATGACATCTCATTTCGATAATGTCATACTTTGTTTCTGGTTCCACGATGATTATGGCTTTGAAGAGATATTTATGGTACTTGCGATGTTTTTGGTTCCACGCTGGTTATGGCTTTGAAGAGATACACACAAAGTTCTCTGTACACATGTACAACAACGAGCATGTACACCGGTCTATGTGAGCATATTATCCATATATGTTTGTCTTATTCTCATGTGTACATAGATGATATCTTATATTTTAAATGATTTTTAGCATCTCATTTTATTTTAGTTTATTTTAATCATTTAGATTGCATAATAAGTATATATGTTGCATTAGTGTGTTTATTTGCATACCACAGAATCTAAAATACACAATTAAAAGTTTGAGTATGAATTATGGACTAATTTGCACATATTAATATTTTAGGGCCAGAATGAAAAGAATCAAAAATGACATACCATTTCTACTAATACACAGAAATACACAGAAACTAAAGGACCAAAGATGCAAAAAAAAAACTCCTCCATTGATGTTTCTAGATTGATCTTCTCACCGGATCTTTGATGTCGAAGGTGGATCTGTAGATGGAGATCGCGGAGGTGGCCCATGGAAGCTTGATGCGGTTGCTGCTAACGGTTTAAGCTAACGCAATAACAAGAAAGCTCCTATCTTTCATTCCCCTATCTTCTTGCTATTTTCTTAATGATGACGCATCACTCCGGCGAATCACGATGTTTAACGACAAGTCCTCACGGTGGACATGAGACACCGAGGAATAGAAACCACCGACGAAAATGAAGAACACAGTGGTGGTTAGAGCTCGTCATGGGTGGAGATTTCATTTATGCTCTAAAAAAGAATTTGATGAAGAAGAAGATAAGAAAAACTGAAAAAGAGAATGGGGACCACCATTACTAAAAGATTTTGTTTTAGTTAAAAAATCTAACGAAAATTGATCATTAGTTAAGAAAAAGTGTATGGGTAGAAGAAAGTGACTTATCATGTTATTAACAAGTGAGAATGTGACTCACAAAGTAATTTTCTCTTAACAAAATGGGTCATATGAGCAGAAGCAAGCAATAATAGTGTGAATTAGAAGATGAGTAGAGTAGGTGAATCCGTTCTAGCAAACTGGTTCTCCAGTATCGTTACTATTTATTTTGAACATTACTTGCCATATCAGGTCAATATGTAACAAATTCAGATTTTATTCTACCATTTGAACCAAGCAATTTTTACAGAATTCACTTAATGCCTTCGGGCTTCTTTAAGGCCCAAAATAGCGGGTTTATTGGGTTCAATTCGATATATTGCAGACTCAAATTCAATACCATATCTAACATGTTCTTTAACCAAAGTCTTTAACAGAAGATGGCTTATAATCAGATGAAATGGATTATCGCATTGGTAATGAGAGGTTTTTGGCTGAGGTTCTGACGAAGAAGGAACGTCCTGAATTCCTTAGGATCAGAGGAGGTTTCAAGAGAGATCTTGAGTTACTTGTAGTAGAAGCAACCTTATGTGTGCTCTTTCTGATGACTTATTTAATAAATATGGGCTATATTGAGTTACTTGTTCTAGTTTCAGATGACAAAGGTAAAACAAGGTAGTGACTATCTATTCAACACTAAATCAGAAAGAGACTTACTCACGAGTTCAAATCTCACAAATGTAAAAGAAAAAAAGAAGCTAACCTATCATTCATCTTTTTTATTCTACTAACATAAGATGTACTTCAATTATTTGAAAGATATATAATAAAGCTCGATGTTTCCAAAAAAAAAAAAAAAAAAGCTCGACAATATTACCCAAATGATTGGACGTCTTCTTTTCAGCATTATTGGACACTTATGCTAGTCTTAGATATTTATGTTCTTGCATGGATTCTTTGACCAAAACACTTGTGTGCTTTTTCAATTGATCATGCAGCAGTAAAGAAATTGATGATGTTACAGCCAAGAAATGGACAAACTGGTTTCCATAATATATTTTTTTGTGAAGGATGGCGATTTTGCTTTTGAGGTGTTTTCTTAACTCACGCATGCATCTTTCTACTCGATAATCTCATGACCTTTACGTTACATGTCAATATCTCAATACGTCCATTAGATATTTCATCAAACTCGTAGATAAATTCCAACTTCAGAACTAAAGTTGACGATTCATATCTCACATCTCGATTGCAAAGATCTTAATAATGAATCTATCAGAGTTTGAGACTTGGTTTCTAAAAATAATAATAAGGGCGGCACCTTAAATGTGTATAGACCACTAGAGGTTTATGTTTTCTCAAAATCTTCTAATCAAAATATTAATGTACTGGAAATGAGATGATATACTACAACTTTTTATGGACAAAAAAAACAAATAATCAAAGATCAACATATATCTTCGATTTTTTTTCATCAGGATAATATCATATTATAAAAAGATGGAGAAAAAGCTCGAGAACATACATTTTTCTACAGTCTGGGGATGTGTTTGCTAGCGAAACGCTATACATATAAAATTACAAAGCTATAAGTTGTTAAATGTCTTGTTATCGTTCGAAAAGAGAAAAAGGAGCACATACGACGAGAGCAGTAGGGCGCATAGTTGCTTTGGTTGGAATTTTTTTAGCAATAATAGCTTTTGATGATATAAAAGCTTATGAATATATGTTATCTATGATTAATATACGTGCATTGTATTTGTTGTATATATCAGTCAAACTTCACTATTTATAAAAGCAACTCTCTTTTTGAACACTTTTGGAAAAATAACACATTGTTTCCTTTTATTTTTCTTTTAGTTATATTAATTTAAAGTTATAATCTTGTTTTTAGCTTAATCTTTGACCATCAATTCATCAACAGTTCGGGTTAAAGTTTGAGCAGTTTCATAGACTAATTATTTGGTATGTTTAATCATTACCTGATAGCCAACATAAAGGAACTAAACAAAATCAATCATACGTTTAAGTTAAACGAACTAACTTAAAAATGAAAAAAAAAAATAGAAGTAAATGAAGAACATAGTTAGTTTAACAATCGTAATGATATTTCTTGTGAATAGGAAAAAAGAATCAAGTTGTATCATACTTAAAATGATTCATATATCTTGCTTTAAAATTTCTAATTAAAGCCAAATGTAATAGTCTAGAAAAGAAAACGAAACATATGTAGTGCATGTAATTCTGTAAATATGTAATGAGTTTGTTTGCAAATATGTAACGTGAACGTGCAATGTAACATAGCCTTCTATTAAAAAAACGTGCAATGTAACCTTTCTCGAATCATTTCTACGTTAGCTAGCTAATATATATCTTCTAGATATGAAGCTTTAATCTCAGCTGAGGAAGAGACAAAGGAAGGGAAACAACCACAAAATATACGCAGAAGCAATAAAGGCCCATTTCGCTTTTCCATGCTCCATAATTTTCTTGCGTTTCTGTTCATTTTACGTACTACATTCTTTATTTATTTTATTTTTCGCTTTTATCCTTTTTTCACGTACTCCATGATTTTGGCCGGTGGAATCTTAACTTTATTTTAGGTTTATTTTGTTTTTTTTTTAATTTGCAAAAGAAGGTTTATTTTATTTTTCCTCCATATCTTTTATAAGTGTTTATCTCGTCAATTAAAATAAAATTCTGGCACGTGAGAATCGTGTTAACATAAATTATATGTTCTAGCAATCAGAGACTGACAATTAGAAGAATAAGAAGAAAACAAAACACACACACAAAGCAATGAGAA